CAACTCGTTCCGAATCTATGCTGCTCATGTATAGGTTTCCTAAAAGGTACTGCAAGGTTACATGAAACTTTCGGGCTAAACAAGAAATGAGCCTTTGGCCTACGTGCGTTTGTTTATCACGAGAGTACGTAGGCTGAAGACCTGCTGCGTACAGTATCGGTAAAACTGCAAACGTCCCTAACCAACCTAAAGATCAAATATTTATCTGCGTTGATTCCGGCGTCGTATTGAGGTACATGCTATACAATTTTTACGAAAAGAAACGTGTCTGTTTAGCTCTTTGAAGCATATCGATATCAATCGACTTGTGCTCATTCCGGTCGCAGGATAACGAAAAAAAGCATTTGAAGAGACAATTGCAAGCAAAGGCGCGGGATTTCGGGTAATTTGAAGGGCTTCATTCGGTGGATATCTCCTCGACAACTCGTTCCGAATCTATGCTGCTCATGTATAAGTTGCCATTAATCGTTCAACACGTGGCATTGTATTTTCTGATTAAAAAGGATAATATTTCTTATCGAGAAAAATCCTCAAGTACGTTTGCTACCTATTAAGATAGTTCATTTAATCATACTATGTCTGAGCTCCACTCTCCTTTAAGCTGTTCTAGATATGGTTGCTTTGACGGAATCCACACATTTGCGTCCTACTACACCGAATGATGATTCAGTGTTGTCATGTAAAAAACGCAGCTAAATTCGTCTACTAACAAATGTGGCAGTCAAGTAGGATCTCGGACGCAGACGACGCTTGTCAGGCATAGGTTACTAAAGACAGTCGTGAAGCAAAAAGGACATCTGTTTAGTAATAGGTGTTTTGTGCTAACTTGGTATTTAAAGGTCAATTACACTTAAAATTTCTTTATCATATCGGCTATTGCGAGGTAATTTACCACCTCTTCCAGCCGAAACGACTGTTACCCCTTTGATAGACTAAGCTTTCGTACAGCCGGAAAATCGAGTTCTTGACTAAGACTGAGATTCATAATGATGTAGATTTGCAATCGTAGGGATTCTCTGCCCTTTAAGCGTAACAGTATGGCCTGTTTTGAGTGCATACATAGCGGTTGAAGTAAGTCTATCCTAACGCATTCTGGGGATGACATTTTAAAGGCCACTGAAAAAGAAAAACTATATATTTTCATATATAGTTCTTTGAGTTTACGGTGAATAAATGAATACCGTTGTTCAGACTGCCAAGAGGTTTAAAAGCAGTCCACATGGAATTCTGTGCAGCATAAAAACTATTTCGTGACGACGCGTAAGCATAAACGGATCAAACGTTACCATTCGCTCTTGAGATACAATAAAAGTGAACAAAAAAGTTTGGATACACTTTCGAAGTGCGTCTCTGCACGCAAATTGTATGTCAGTTTTCATTTAGACTTCAGCACCGACGAAGGTTTTGAAGCACAACTCACTGGCACACTATTCCGCTGGAAACTGCTGTTCTCATCGTTTACTGCCCTATACTAAGAACGAAATTGAAACGGGTTTAAGACTTCTTTTCAAATGAATAAGGTGACATCCGTGGAGCTGCTACCTGGGCGGCTTTGGTTTACCTCACCAGGCCCAGTTTTTTAAAGCCCACAGCTGCTGACCCGAAATTGGTTCTGTCCACAATGGCTCGCCGCAGTTCACAACTCAAAGGGACGCTATATTCATCGCAGAATACAGTGAAGTAGAGACCGCATTCAGCTCAACTGTAAACATCTATACGACAAGTCTGCGTTAGATGTCACCCGCGTACCTCAAAAACTTTCGGTGCCTATCACACGCACAAGTCAAAGCGAAGGGTGAAGTACTCACAAGAGCGACAGACGCGATCGCAGCCATCATTCGTTGAGGTTTCGTTGAGGAGCAGCGGCTTTCTGATGGGAGGGTTATATAACTTTTATAACTTTATGGCCCTCACGACCACTAGCGAGCTCATCTAATAGTAAACACCCTGACGTTCGTGATGGGTACAACCAATTTGAGAAAAGCGAAAAAGCCACTGGGTCCATGAAAAGATCCTTGCTAGCCTTATCCTTGGACCAGGCCTTCAACATAAGCCGATACGAGAACCTATACTAGTTTGCTGGGCTTTTGTTGGCTAGTAGTACACGAGAATCGACCGAACTAACTATTCAACGACCGGCCTTCACCTCCGGTATTATCACGGATAAATGATTTCTATTCGGTGCATCGTAACGTTTATTTAGAGTCCCTATTATCAAAACCTACATCTCTTAGAGGACAAAGGCTTAGAGAGAATGTTGATCACTGGGTATCCTGACAGTGCTCTCTCCAGTGATTCACATTCAGGCTTTTAGATGGTTGCATAATGTAACATACTCTCTCGAAGTCATAAGGTAATCACGGGCTGTTATCCTTGAAAGGCCAAGCCTTCCCATCGCGACCTGGCGTCAATGAACGCGAATTGAGCTCCGCGTCAAGATTGGAGGTCTCGCTGCTAGGCCAATAGCCTAGTTGTACGAAAAACGAGACTAAATTATGCTAAGCTTGGGGACTACCCATCCATATGCTGTTGCAGGTCATTGAGGTAGACCTGGTTTTATAGCCGGCATCGAAGAATAGCAATATGTTACACACAACATAGCACCTATATCAGAGTAATGAAATGCCAAATTTTCGGCGCCATCTCAATGCTACTATTATGCATAGCAAGAAACACATAAGGAAGTGCTGTTTGCAAAGGGGTGTAGAATTCATATGTACATGTATATAAGGTCATACGTTTTTAAGAACACTCTGCGAATTTCAATATTCTATTAGAATGGATTGGGCATTAAGAAACGGTGGCTTTTGACAACAGACATTAATAACTAATAAGACCTAAATAAAATAAGAATGTATGTATGTTTCTTCTGAGAGTCCTTGAACGTTGTATAGCCGACCTCTTTAATTGGTGAGCCGAGATTGAAGTGATTAAAATGTAAAATATTTCACATCCTAATTTGCCAACTTTACATTCTAAAAATGTATAAATAATAAAATGTATTGGTTACACGAGCAGTTTAGTATATAAGCTTGTCGTACATATTAAAGCTTATTGCTCAAGTATCAAATCCGATTAAACAGTGACCACTTGCTATTTGTCTAGATTCATTCTACATAACTGTCCAAGGAACCTACCTCATAGTAATTTCTATGAAAAGATGGCTGGGTCTGCTGGACCAGTTTGCCTATCTGGTATAGGTACCTTTTTTCTTTAAACTTGCCGGTGACCTTTATCTTCGGTTCCTGATCCGAGGCATTTTTCTGTAGGTCCTACTCACAACACGACTGGGCCCGCTTCTCGGTCCCGCCAAAAACCAGCAACCAGAAGGCTTACATTGTGAAGTGTCGACCTGTACTTGAGAGTCAGGTTAAGTTGTTTTCGTTGCCAACGCTGAACTGTGAACCGGCTATGACTATCTTTTGAAGCTTTTTACGACGGCGTACTCAATCTTCGTTCTCAATCTGTGTAATCAAACGTTCGACATGTACGCTGAAACGACCCTTCCAAATAACACTTTTTTTCCCTTCAGCGATATCTGTTGAATTTTTCGTTCTGAAACCGCTATTTTTGCCTCTGCTGGGCACATTTGAAAACAACTAAACACTATTAAACGCTATATGATTTCGAAGACCTTCACACATATGAGAATGTCTTTGGAGAAGTGAAATTTCCAAGGACTTAAACACAACGTTAAATTTTCCATGGTGTTCTCGTAAGCTCAGTCTATACTGCAGAGCAGCACAGTAGCTTGACGCACGTACAATACGGATTGGCGGACGGATGTTAGCACTCCGACAGGTGTGCATGTGTTCTTTGATGATTAGATCAATCAAACTATGTCCCATCTTTCAGTAACGGTAGACCCAAAAATGACTGCCGAAGGACCACCATCGAGAAACTTGGCAGTTGTCAATATAAAAATCGGATTAGAGCATAATATAAACAGAACGGGTACGTTGTTCGCAAGCGAGATGTGAATAGGACGAACAGTAGGTAACGCTGGCATTATGTGTTTAGACTCGCAGGATGCAAGGTAGCATTAATATACATATATATATATATATAAGATTGCCCTAGAAACGAATTTTGAGGAACACCTGCTGAGCTCATCGCAGCGTTAAAAACGACGTTGAAAAAGCTGTCATCTACTTCTTGTTGAACAAGTCTTACTACGTTTATCCTAATCAAAGACTTTCCAAACGGCAAGGACAACGCCAAAGGATGCATCGCTGTCATCAGTTCCATGACGAACAGGTTCTATTGTCGCAGCGGGAGCTTCAGTTGACGCGTTCGGTGAACGCGCGCCAATGATGAAGGACGGCAGACCCGTTCAGGTAAATCAATTAATTTAAGCCCATTAATTCACTCTGGGTGAGCTAACCTAGTCGTCCTGCCCTATTCATATAATAATATACGAATCGATATCATGTAAGCTAACACTAAATGAGAACACAAATAAATTTACTTACCGAAGTATAGAAGGTTTATTATTATTGCAGTTCGTCCGCTATCATTTTATCAAAGACATACCGCTACATTCTATCATTTGGACAGCAAAATGGTTCGGCCTTGTCAAGCTCCACCCTGATGTACTGTTTCCTCAGTTAGATTCGTCTTTGTGACACCACATCAGCAATTAGCTGATCATGCCGTAAAACGTTCGATCGAAGAAAGTTTGTTCCCATCTTCACGGTTGGCAGACTACTACAGCGAAAACCTCTAACGCATCCAGAAATGGCTGCCGGCATCTGATGAAGTTGACGCGCGATGCATTGATTACAACATTGCAAGCAGTGGTTCCCTTGGCCAGCTATGAAACATTAGTATTGCTGATTTACTATAGTACCTTTGTGTATGTATGTATGAATGTTACAAACAGAAGCTCGGGATCGTGACATTCTGTCTATTTCCACCACTTGTGAAATTCAGAGCTTTTTCGTCTCTACTCGAACTTTATCTATTTATATATATATGTTCCCAAAGACAGCAAATAGCCGTCACTGAACGGACAAATCGTGCCGGGCAATTTATTCAATCAACCGACGTTACTTTATCTATGAAAGCCTCACCGCACGCAGGCATACCGTCATCATTCTTACTAGATATGAGCATTAGGCATATGTAATTATTTATTATGTATACCTATATAATAATAATAATAATAATAATAATAGAAAGTAAAAACCTTATAGGGGATTTCCCGTTCGTTGCTTCGAGCATACGCTGGATAGCCAACATCCTATAGTGGCCATATTAGATATGGAGCTGTTTCTTAGTTCCTAATCAAACCGAGATACAATCGTATCACTCCGAAACAAGTCAAGGTTAGACCTAACGAGGCTATAGGATATTTTTATATATATCATGTATTAGCGTATTAGTGGTAATACCATTAACAAGTGTCGTTGTACTGCGACAGATCGACAATTGCCCCCTTCTAAATATGAAGGGAGCTGGTTGCGCATTGGTCCCATGGAAATACAAACGCGTTACAGAAGCTATAAATACTATCGATGGTAATTTGAATAGACGTAACGGGATGCTTCGAAGCAGTCTACCTAAGTTAAGAAAAATCTTATTAAACAATTTGAAGTTATCGATCAATTTTCATCTAATTCATCGATGTATCATGTATGGCGGACACTCACTATAAAAAAATTGACGTTCCGACGATAGACAACACGAAAAAAATCAATAGTTATAGAAGCCTAGAGCAATTTTTACTCTGCTGAACGTTCGAATTTAAGGTCCTAACTATCCGAATGTAAAAGATTGGGTTATAAATAGGACCGACGCACAGTCTAATCCTTATATGAGTTAAAAAAAAATGACTTATCGAAGACTATGTTTGATGATGTGAAAGTAGTAGGCGTATCAAAATGAACGTGCTCGTTTTTTAATGTTACTTTTACAATTTCTCGGTTTAAATAGGTAACGCTGTGTCCTTTCCTCTTTGCTTAATAGCAACAAACAGTACGCGTTTTTCTTATTGTTGGCCTTGTGAGCACTGAAAGAGCAGGGGATCATTGTCCGGCTTGATTTATCTGGGTACAATAACTGGTTTAACCAATACTCGATGTCATCAACACGCTCGGATACCCCAGAGCTACCACTCACCATTATGGCCATTCCGCGCCGGAATGAAGTACATTCTTACATACATTACACACATACATATATATATATATATATATATATATATATATATATATATATATATATATATATATATGGTTCAGCCTTTTACTATTCTACTTCAACGACTATGATTCCGTTTTGCGAAGATTGCTACACTAGCTTAATATTATATTTGTATGTACATGCTATGCACATTTATGCCCTCGATGGGCAACGAATGAACCAAAAAAAGTGTGCAGTCAATTTCTAGCCAGGCTCACAAGTATTATATTTTAGTGGTCAAATATTAAGGCTAGTCTATGCCCCCTTCGGACAGTTTTTCTCTCAAACGCTCCCTGTAAGTCTCATGGTCAGAGCACGTACGTTGATCGGATTCGTACGTTTAGAATCAACCACCAATTAGCAAATATAACAACATGCTATAATAATAATAGTAATAATAAGGATAATACTTCATGTCCAACTAATGTATCATTTTTCATTCGTTTCAAACGAATCGGGTAGACACTCAGTTTTGTTACAATGGCTTGGACAACCGTCGTCAGCCATTCGAAAATGTCTGCATTGCCTCCTCCTGCCCGAACGTGCAGGTCGTACTCTGTCATACATATACACGTGTACTGGTGATTCTATGCATACTACCCTACGACAAATGCACTTGCTCACTGTAACAAATAGTCCCGATATCAAATAAGAATGAGCATGAAACGTGTGGCAATCGAGCAACGATAGCGAAAGCTGTTAGGCACAATACTTTGAAAAAGCTAAACATCCGAAGGGTCTGTCCAACGTAAAAACAGGTGCGCAAAATACCTGGACCTATACATAAAACGCAGTAGTTTTATTGGGTAAGACTAGGGGACGCTGTTTGCAACGATACTCAACGGCTGTGTGGGGCTTGCATAAGCTATCTTTGTCCATTCGTTCGCACCTGGCAAGCAAATCAATAGATTAGCCTGGAGTCTTCTCTGCGCTCGACGTTTCCCTTCCGTTTTTTCTGTTTCTCTCTTTTTATTTTGCTCTTTTTATTGATGCTAGCGCGCTCTATATCGTCTGCATTAATCAGCGTTGGTCTTAGATTAAGGAAATGTTACACAATAGTGGGAGCAATGAAGGGCTAACGGTATAACTTCTGCCAACGCTAGTTGGTTTCGACAGCCACAGTCCGCTAATTTACATACATGTAGAAGATATGTCTCTTCAGCAATTAATATCGATGTCTCTAACGCAAATTTGACATGAACTGGAAGCAAAACAACAGCCCTCGCTGTTAGACAGGGTACTAAGCATTCCTACCAAATGAGGTTATTTGACCGATGCCTGAGTACACTGCCATTTGATGACGAAGCCTTATAATTATGTTCCAAGCATTTAGTATCCGTAAGGATTGCTATACTGCGAGCCCGGGTGATATGGTGGGTAGGGCCCAGGATAAGCGGCGTAACCGTATCCTGAGTATGGCTGCCGCTTGTCAGGATATACCTAGAATAATGGAAAAGCAAACATTTCGTTAACGAACGAAATACTAACATCTATATAGTGAACATTATTATTATTATTAGGATTAATGTTATGCTACTACGACTAGGGTTACTGTTTATTTTCGTGTCAACTTGACGCTTGTATCATAGTGCCAAATAGTAGGGTAATCTTAGTTATGGCAATGATCGTTACGTACCGGCATTAGATATTGCATGTTCTTTGCCTGCTCGTTGTCTTTCTCGCGACGGAGGCAGTGAGATGAGCCGAGGAAAAGGACCCCAGTCAAGAAGCTGAAGGCCACACCTAGCCAGGCCAGCATGTATGACCAACCGTAGAAAAACAGGGTTACCCCGGGGCGACGCAGGATCTGAAAATGGATTATGCATTAAAAACAGTACAGCGTATAAGTGAACCAGCTTTCACGTTCACTGCTAAAGTTCAAGGTGATATACATATAATTATATAAACTCTACGTTTATTCTTTTTTGTGATTTTTCAGCATTTCAAAGATACTGGTACTGGTACAAAGAGAAATTCCTTAGGACCGAAGTGCCGATTAACGACTATGTAGCAATTAGAGTTGCTATAGAGCGCTTGCTCTTGCCTATCGATATCGGTCCGATTCAATCGGTAGGACCATCCATTAGCCTTTTAGGCAAACCCAAATCGAAGCTATTATTATGCAACACGTTACATATAATGTAACGATCATTCGTTCCCTTACCATTTGCTTACAAGCTGCTGCAGCGGGGAACTGGATTCAGCACGTCAGCCGAGCTCCTTCAGTGCTCAAGCGAGTGTTCATTGAATTCATATTCAAATTTTGCGCCATTCTCGTCACCTATCTTTTTTTGCTTTTCATATTTTGGAGCTTCGAAATACCTCTATAGGTTTAATTTGTTAATGAGCAATTACGATGTGGGTACGCCCGAGACGTGTTGAACGTATTGACAATAGTCTTGACAAGTCGTGGAGACAATCGTTTCACTAAGGAGTGTTTCCCGCGTGTCGTTTTCGACATATTATTTACTCGTAGCTTTAAATCTTAACAAGTAAAGGCGACTACATTTTTTTCCTTTCTTGCATCGTTGAGCGGCACCACCTCAAAGACGTAGGCTTTTCTATATTGCTAAATACCTCAACACGTGGAAGTAGCAACAGTTACCGATCGCGCACGAGCCCCACCGTAAAGTGACCCCGTTCTTTTGTCACCTATGGTTTCTGCTACTACCGCTGTTGTTAAAAGGGAACCTCTTCTATTCTCCAGATGACTTCTATGACCGTAATAGGCTCATTCGCGTTGCATTATACGTTGTCATATGGAAGTAAATGCTATAAATGTACTTACGGGAAACGATCACAATATCCGGTGACGAGCTCACCTTTTGCACATGTACATATATATATGTGCGTGTCTCTGTTGGACATTGCAATATCTCTGTAGGGCCGGTCATAGTTGCAGACCTGAGATGTTTTGAAGCTGCCTTACGATAGAATGATCTAGTATATGATAATGGATGGAACAGCTAAAATGTAAAATATGCGAAGTTTTTTTTTTAACAAACGCATAGGTACAGATGCATAATCACACAAATATATGTATAATGACGCGAACGTTATCGGGCAGGCACTATATATATATATATATATATATATATATATATATATATATATATATATAGTGCGCACGACACGTGCTTGTATATGATAGGTAACTGCTGCTACTGCTGTAGGTCTATTTACCCTCGCACTGATTTGATCTTGCTCACTCTGTCTGAGTCTCTGTTTCTTCTTTGACGATGACTTTTGGACGCTTTTTCTCGAAAAATTGCTAGAAGAACCGTTCGGCCCCAAAGAGTTACCGCGGGTGATAGGTATTGAAAAATCATGGAAGGAGGTACCAAATTCCTTTCACGGGGAGACGGCCACGGTTCTATCAACAAATGTATGGTATCAAGAAGGGAGTTGATAGTCGCCAGTAAACAACGCCACGATCTGTGCGCAATATGGCGAAACTGCGCTTGTACCGATTAGCTCGGGGATTGGTGAGAACGACTGTTAAAAATCGTTGACCGATTTGTTGTTTTGTCACCCGAAATATTTTACTAAATAAGAGAATTAAAACGAAGACCGACAAGCGCTATATAGAAACTCATCCGCATAACCAATTCGTTCGTTGTCGCCGAAGGCTAGTTATGCGTACAGATATGTCGCACATTGTAGGAAATAGTCGTGTTGGGTCGACCCGCTGACGTTTTTTGCGTAGACGTTCGTTTCAAGGTTCAAGCGTAATCCCATTTACCACCACATACACTGACTTATTGAATCTATTGGTCGACCGTTCCTAAGAAGGTATCGAACACTGTCGCCTGCTGATAAATTGGAATTGTAGTAACAATAATGTATGTTAATGCGCTACATGAGGTCGATAAGCTTGATGGATATTTATTATAGAATCGTTGCAAGGTATCGGCTCAACTCCTTTCCACCGTAATTCAGATTGATATCGTGATCTATCAGTGTGCGTTGAGAGAAATGAGGGGTCCTAGTGAATGGATGCATTAATTTACTATTTGCTATCATCAAAATATTATCTAAATAATGATTTATGATTGTTTGTCTAATTGTTTTGCTAGACCTTCTACCCGGTACGGAAAACGGCTGGTTCAATCGACAGTCAAATGTAGGACGTATTATCTATTGAAATATATGGAAGTTTTGCCCGAACTTACCGCTGGCCATGCGTAATAGCTGAGATTATCGTGAAGCTTCTTGTAGTCGTAATACTCCACTCCATGCCAAAGACCCATGGCTCCTCCGGCAACGAGCGCAACCAGGATCTGCCAAAGAAGCCACAAAATATAGATAGGTTAGGTTCAACGTCGCCTATGGTCTCTGGGCGGACAGTCGAGATCCTGAATAGAGAGTCAAGCACCCTAAGGTATCTAGGCTTGAGTTCAACCGATCACTACTGCTTGGATTCAATGAACAGTGACTCCAATCAATTATCACATGTTTTCCATCCTAATTAAGATAAGGCATGCATTATTGAAAGATTTGCTAGCAACGCTTCATGTCTTCGTTCTGTATGACACCTGTACTTTCGAATTGGCGTAACCTCTATAAAACAACGTCCACGTTGAGGGTTTACAAGCGAGCTTAACGGCGATGCATCGAACGGTGAAGCCGGCAAGCTCTTTGCTGCAGTATTGTCGGTAAAGGGGCAACACCTAGGCAGCCTACCACATCGTGCTGGTAGTGAAACAGTCGTATAACAAACAAGGCCAAAAAGGAACCAGGGCGCCGTTGAATATCTTTGTACTTGTGCCAACCAGCTTTGTGTTGTCATGGCTTTTTTTTCTTACTTTCTGTTTTTTTTTGCAGTACGTAACATTATTTGTATGCTTTAATGGGGAACAGGCACGCGTAATAATAACTTCATCATTAGGCCGCAAATAAGAATCAACACATTTACGCATCAAGGGGAGTCAAGCACGAGGATAGCGTCTAGGGAGGTACAGGGAGGCCATACAAGTTTATAACTGCTATTTTGACAATGTTCGCCCTGCCATTGTGTCTCTTGGCGGAGCGCCAATGTTTAACAGGGCCAAGCTTAGCTTGGATTTGACAGCGTTGTCATAAAGAAGCACGTTGCTTGTTCTTCTGCTATTTTTTTGCCGTGTTCGTGTTAATATGGGATATTTCAATTGCACTTTGTAGTCTAACCCCTATTTACCCTACGCTACATCACAAACATAGCCCCTACCGCTAATAAGCGGCTGAAGTAGTCGATCAAATAGCTACGTTTACAATAAATAGATATTTGATCGAATATAATCACGGGATAACTTGTTTAAATGGATCACACAATATGAAAATTGAGTTCCTTTCAATGTTCGCTTCGAAATCGATTGAGGTTTTACTTCCTGTCGTACGCGCACATGTTTTCATGAAGCAGAACGGCTTCATCATTGTCTAGGATGTGGTCGTAGATAGAGGCGAGTTATTAGTCATGTGATGATCGACTGACTCAACAGACATTTGCTTACTAATAGAATACGAGTAAATATAGAACGGGAAATATCGAAATAAAGATAGGCCGGAAGTCAACAGGTGTGATCGTCACTTAAAGCAGACATCATCATACCTGCAGGAGACCGGTAGCGATTATATTCGAGTAGGACCTTTTCCAACAGCCCGCGATGCCTGTCCAGAACGAGAGGAAAGATAAAAAGAAGGACACGATAAAGAGGGCAACGCAGGACCGCGCCATATCTGTAACCGAAAAAACAACAGAAGCAATCGGATATCAAGCATTTAGTGGTACTTCATAGGTAATTTAAATCTTGTAGTGCTAATCGGTTATCTAAGGCGCAGTTAGAAACTTGTAATAAAACATGGCAATTTTATAAGCCATGTCTAAGCTGTTTTTAAACGAGAAATTCCCTCTTCCATATCTCACTTCTGTTGCGAACAATCTGTTTTCTTCATTTAATATATTGATTTAATCTATTCGGGTGTTGTCTTTATGACCTTTTATGAAAATGTCCATCGTCGCAATAGTGCTGTTATTATTATAATAGTTAATCATGAGCCTATTATGTTTGTGCATGTGTTTTAGCGTCTACGCGTTATTCGCTGCCTGTTCTCAATCCGAACGCCCATCAGGCCATCTGAACTGAGATGTTCAAGCATCAGTGTTTGTGCATACTATAAATTGAAATAATGTCTCAGTAGTTTATATATAGCTAGATCTAGAACAGTTCAGATTTTTAGATCAGGTTTTGCTTTATCTGATATTTTTCACGTGCTTCCATTGACGAAAAGAAACAGGATCGCAATGAAAAAAGCAATGGCTATCATGTATGGGTGATTAACGTTTCCAATCTGGCAGCTAACGTGGACGGACAGCCTGGTAAAGCAACTTACCGTTCGCTAATATTGAGGTGCCGCAAACATACTGCTTTACCGTTAGCGTCTCTATTGAAAAGAAGCAGTTTTATTACAATACCTTTATATGCACTATACTTCAGTCGTGGTCAAAGGCGTACTTCTTAGTGAAATTTCATCAAACGCCGATACGATTTGTTGGATTGACAGATTTTTTCCATCCCTGAACGAGCGTCGTCCAATACGGTAGAATGAGATTAAACAAACCAATGGTACCCATTCATCAGTTTTATCAACCCGTTGGTCGGCAAACTATAGCGTGAAAAGTTTTTGCCACCTGGTAGAAGTACGCGAGGGGTAAATAGTGGGGTAACAAAATGTATCCGGTTCTACTCGTGACCGGCGAATGACGTGTAGCGCTAAATCGAGCATCAAATAGCCACTTCGACAAGGAACGCTTTCATGACTTCACCCTATAGTCGCGGCGCCAGAAAGCATAAAACGGCTGTGGTGAAAAGTACTGGAAACTAAAGAAAAGTATCTTCTTTTTTATTCCAAAATTGTTTGGAAATTGAACAAGATGCTATAGTTATTAAGTTTAACGACTGCCATGCTACATGTCGATGGAAATGTCATCGAAATATATGTTTCGTTGTGAAGGAAAAAACCCTATGAGTAAATTGATCTGGAAAAACGTCTGAAATATAAACTGAAAGAATCAGACGTTTGCTTTGTTTGACTAATAAATTTGCCTATACTGACACGTTTCTTGTTCGAATCCGCGCAAGAACTCCTGCACAAGAGGCAGGTGACGACTTCGCAACTACTAGCGCAAAGCGCCTGCCGTAGCCACGAATTGTACTGTTAACCGTAGAAGAAGTGGTATATCGTACAACAAGCCAGGGAAGACCCAGCTTTCACCTTCGCAAAGGTATCTGACGAAAAATGCCCACATCTAATTGCCGTAAGCCTCTGTTTCGTTGCTGTACCCGTGTGGGTAACGGGGCGACGTTTATTTTAAAATCTACTTATTTTTTTGGTTCGGGCTCTCGCCTTTTATAAGAAATACGTCGAGCGTAAACGGATCTGCCGATAATCGTCAAAAGGTTTCTAACGGGCGACCAGACACGTTAAGGCGTCATCTAAGGATTCTAAAGATTTTGAGTAAGGGTTAGATGCATATATATATATATATATAGTGATAATCGGTCAATTTGCATAAGCACGTATTAGAGCTATTGTAATTGCCCTAATACGTTAAGTGACGCTGGTAAAGTGACAAGGTGTTTGCATGTTCTGCCTGAACGAGGCAGACAAATACTTAATATTCAGCCTGATGGCGGTCATTGGCAATGAAAGAATACAGCCAGTACCTCGTCAAGCTCTTGAGAAAAAAACTAACCAAACTGCTAGACGATCAATGTGCAATGAGAACCTCGTTCGCGTCGTGACTGTTATTGTCTGTCCATCGTGACTGGATAACGACAGATGTAAAGCTTTATGTCGTCTAACCGTCATCGATTATGACTGTTCATCAATTGACTGTACAATCGTTACGGCTCAATAGTCAATGAGCGGTGACCATGTCCTATAAAGAATATCAATGGTTTCGGTCGATGAAATCCGTGTGGCCTTTTACTGGCAACCGCGCAATGCCAGTTACTTCATCAACGACGAGACGCATACGAAATACATACCTAAAAGTTCAATCGGGAAAGTTGTTTTTGTCGCCGATTGTTAATTTATTCACAATAAACAGTAATATTATAGAAATAGAATTAAGCGAAACCTTGTCATCACGATGTCTCGTTCATTATAGCTAGAATATAAGCAATTCGGAACGTCCAACGATCTGTTCTCGAATCAAGCCGTTAGAGATTAACGAAATATACTTTAGGATCCGTCATGACTTTGTGATATTGCTAAAATTTATCGAGATAATATCATGACAAGCTGAACGGCAGGGTCTACCGTTATCAAAATACAAGGCCATAGCGCTAAACTAACTTTTTACATTTGGCCAAACATTAATTTCGAATCTACTTACTTTTGAACGGCCTTTCAGATAATCGCAAGTGTAGATTGTGAGGTAAAATTCGATATAAATCACCCAGTCCGAGACCTGCCGCTCCTAACGTCATGATAACGATAACAACTATATAGCTCAATAACAAGTTTTCTGACTACACACAAACACGTTCGGTAGGCGAAAGTCGTAACACGTCTTTTAGATGGTAAACAGAAGCCCGTCTACCAAATGGAAACAAAAATCATGCCCGTATTTTCTTTCCTTTCGCTAATTGGAGGAGATTTTATCAGGTTCATGGTCGTATCGATGCTAGCCGACGTCGGGCATCGCCTTGCCAAACTGACCAAGAACAAACGACTTGAGCGCCCACCGAGCCATGAAAAGTCAACAGGTGCATTTTGGTAGCGTGGGGGGAAAAAAGTACGATTGCACTATAATGGCTCCTGTAATTGCCGATTGATGCTATCACGTCGACGTAATCGTTAAGGACATGGTAAGAACGAGGAGAAAGAGGCAACGAGCAATGCAATGAATCTGTCCCTTTGCATTTGCAGCTGTTTTCAGGCAGTTTGCAATCGTACGCGTTGTATAGCCATGTCGTTTGCTGGGATTTCAGTGACTGACGCCAGTTTCTGCATGAAAGCTTTCTCAGCGCCCTCATCTTTTGCCTTAGGTCATTTTTCGCTTAGATCCCAATTACTTGGCACGTTATGTTTATCGCTGGTGCTGCTTTTGCTACGGCAAATAGTACAGCACCGACAAGATTGGACTAACGATAATGTTTAACAGTCACACAAATATGGTTCACGTATGCGGATACTTACGCAGTCTTTCCCAACGCTGTTCTGAAAACTGGTCGGATACCTCATCCTCAGGGATGTAATAGTTAACGTTAACACAGTCGGTCTGTAGCGGTGACATGTAGGTGTTCACTGAAAAGACGCCAAGGAGAGAAAAGCGGAAAGAAGCAAACATCATAAATAACGACGGAAAGATCAGACGGGTAAAACGTAGGCAAAGTGTAAACAGCAATTTTAGTGGTTGTCAGGTGAAGCGAACGTTGATAAATACCGTTGAATACCTATATGAGTGTTTATCATTTTAGCATCTATTTAGGCCTTTGCTATGCGTTGCCCGACCCACTGAGTACGCCACAGTATAGCACGCCTACCATCTAGTCTACCTTTGATACAATTATATTGCTTGATAAATAGACGTAAGAAAACACAGAGGCGTTCTATAACCGCTAAATCCTTCTAGCAGAAGCTTTTGCCATCGTCCCTAATCGGAGATTGATTGAAAATAAATCGTAGATTTAGTCTTTTTTAACGATATTTCATATACACAAATAACGTAACTGTTTCAACTTCAAGACGTTCTGATTTTTATTGTTATTTTTTAAAAACTTAGTTCAGTTCAACCTTTAAATCACCAGCTTCATATGACGTATAGACACTTGCAGAGTATTGCTAACAACAGTAACAGATTAGGACAAAGGCAGTACGAGCGAACAAAAATACCTACCTACCTACTTCTTACTGGAATAGACCAACCGTTGCCGTAACCATTACTTGTCAATATTTGTTATACGAAAAAAACAATACGGTCATAAAGCTGATGCTTAATTAGTGTGCATGCTGTTATCAACACACACTGAGGCACACATATCCTGCATCAAGTTTGCACCGCTAAAATATCAAAAAAATAAGCACTGAAAGTACGAGTTGCTTTTAAGTGCAAGCTACCTTACCGCCTGTTTCGCATCCGTTTATAGGACAAATTACGTTCCGTCGTTTTTATTTTTCCTGTCGTTTGATCATTCCATCCCCTTTTGCATGAAGCGATTCTTCTTTTGTTCAAGGAATTACGTCTATCGACGTGGCCGAACGTTTCGGAAACGCGTTGTTAAACAAATTTGATTATAGCATATCCGGGGAGTCCATATCTCTTCCAAACTGCGTCCATTACAAATGCTGGAAACGTTTCCACGCTGTCAACGATAATTAGATATGAAGGACCATATCACGTAGTGCAATGACAGTCGACGATCTTTTTCGAATTACCATGCAGCTGAGCCTATCACGCGTAAGCGCTCTACCGCTTTTCTAACTCTTCGATTCGCGGAAGGGATAAACCTAATTCTGTCGAACTTCGTTCTGAAGTATCAACTTTGCTATCTAGCACTCGCGGCCGTACGACGGCTTACATAAATGTGCCCTAAATGTAAGAGAAGCCCATGCCTTTATCATTCTGTCTTTGCCATTTAATCATCGGGAAAATTAAATAGGCAGAACGGTACCAGTTGAATGCATCACTTGCTAGGCATAGCGCATCGCCCATAAAAAAGTTTTCAACTCTCTCGACCTTTTATTGCCCTTCAGTGCTTTCTATAGAATTGCACATACAAATGTTGGCTTGGTACACGAACACGAAACGGGACCACCGTCAACAACGCCGAGGTTCAATAGCACGGCGTCCGCTTCAAGCCATGATGCAAGAAACTTCTAGTGAAAAATGACGAATATTTGCTAGTGGGGGCAAAAATGTAGCTTACTTCAGTATTTACTTCTCGGCCGTCTACGTACAGGGGCCGAGGATAAATAACGGCCCCATGTGTTCCAATATAATCATTATCCCGTCCATTAGCTAGATTCAGAGTGAAGTGTAGACTGTGACTACATGTGTGTGCATCTGAGGGAGAGAGAGGATTTTAGTGGTCAAATTATAGAAAACAAGTTTTCCTTACTATTATTAAGAGTAGCATTATTATCGTCATTATATCTGTAGTGACATGTTTGCCTGTGCCAAGAATTGGCGGCCACTTCGGCCCCTATCGTCGGTCCCGCCATGACTGTTTCCGCTCTTGATACCGCTAGTAAGTGAAATTGTGTAGTTGAATATTCTATACGTTAGCGTTGAGTAAAACTCGCTGGAGAAAAACATTTGGTGAACGCCAATTCACACAAAAAGAGACGGGCATAGCAGGAAAAGTAACGGGACGCCGGCGAATCCCTTCGCGCTGACTCTGTTGTGCTTCGCTATCGTAGAGGTAGAGGTAGCAGCGACGGTTTACTTCGAACGGAAGTGAATATGAGTCAAGCCTCAAGCAGAAAAATGCCCAATAGCACTGCAACATTACCTCTGCGATAATCTAGTGTCCATCCATACCCATGTTAATAGCACTGCACGCTGGCCATTTTTCTACTAGTAGTGTTTAATTACTCACGCGAGGTAACAAGGGTAGCTCGTAAAGCACTTCCTCTTATCTGGTCGGCCAGCGGCTCTGGCAAAGAACATAGGTAAGCTGGTGCTTTAGCATACTATAATAAGATTCTTCAAGTTCCCTTTGTTCGCTCAGACCAAAGTTTATAATAAGCAATGATGGTCTTAAGTATCGATTAGTAATAACGGTCGAGAGACATAGATATCTAGTTAATTCCGATGTTGTGGCCTCTAACGAAAAATTTGATACGATTCTAGTGTGCTTCACCTTTACACACCTGTACAGTTGCATACATAATCTGTACAATCGATAATCAGCCATATTCCTTTGGGCGTGTCCCTTATTCCTCAAATATATTAGGAATCGCTATTAATATAATGGCGCCGGCGATAGCAGCGACCCATTGTTGCACACACGATGTTACAAACTATAACATAATAATAAGATCCTTCTCATAATAGCCAATGCAAAACTCGGTTTCTTCACCATTTACTCTAGCCGAAGAACTACTGTTGAATGCCGTCTTCCGTCCCACCGCTGGCAATGAAAGGTTAGTAAGCGACTGAGCTAGTTGGGAGGTATCTAATAATACCCATATTTCTGTTATCGTTCGGGGACAAAAAAGGAAAGCGGAGCAAATTACGCTTCCCACCGAAATAACGAAAAGGACATTTTACCATTTAATCAGTAAATATCGCACATCAAATGAAATTACTCCGGCATCAGCTCTAATGTTTAATTGTACGCTCGTAGTAACAATCCTATTGCTGAAGCTAGCGCTACCTAGTACAACAGGTGCTCATAATTCACTCGTTCACCTCGAAAACCTAGTTCTCACCAGCTGTTATGTAACGCTTTTCAGTTGTCTTCTCCTCCCTGCGTGCGTTTTGTTTTTACGGTCACCCCCAAACTCGTATTGTGTTTGTCTCTCTCGCTCTGTGCACAATGGACATCAATAGCATAGCTCCCAACATGTTTACACGCCTGTAGATACCCGCGTGGCTTCGGGTTGAATCGGCGGCCGTCAGTCCATTTTGCGTGTAGCAGCACCCAGCTGGGAGAACCAATAACAACTATCACTGTTTTTATTATTGAACAAGTGGCCCTGGTCTCTTGGTGAATCGACCGATTAGCCAGTCCGATATGGCCTGGATGTTATCCAGCTGGCGTCAGGCCAAACGATGGACGACCGTGGACAGTGGCGATACGATTAGCTCCTGCGACAGGTCACTGCTGCCGTGGACGTCGCTGTCGGTAGGGCCGAATAATTCGATGTGACGCTACGCACTGTTGCTATTGAATCAGTCGAACGACCACTGAAGCTTCCTTCCGTTTTCAACGTTACGACGAGCTGTCCGCCAACGGCTGGACAGACGAATAAAGGGGCTACAATGATGGCGTGACGGCAGTAGCTATGACGCTAAACTTGATCTGCTTTGGTCAGAGGGGTTCTTGTGAAAGATATAGCTGGTTTTGCTGCTACAGCCAGCGCTGGTACTCACTGATAGCGTTGCATCAGCGCAGATGGTGGACGCCGCCAAGTCATATAATAACAGCTGCAACGTATATAAACATTGCGCTACACAGATAATAGTATATCTAATACATAAAGGCAAGAATAAGTAGTGAGCTAAATATGTAGGTATTCACCGAACAGGAAATATGTAACATAATAATTTTACAGCTCAAATTTTCCTAGCATTGTTGCTTTTACAAATGTGCGGTAATAGCAGTCGTTAGATGGCATCACATTTATTCAGCTCTGAGCTCTTCCTCACAAGGTATGAATACCTTGTCAGGAAGAGCTCAGAGAACGTTCATACCCTAACGAGCATCCCTTACAGAGGATCCTACTAGGTACGATACCCATCACTCCATAGAGCGCATGGCTCGGAAGAGCCAGCCAAGTCATCACTGTTAATTCAGCTTACTAACTCGCGACGATAAAGGTTTCCAGCAAAGTACTCCAGTTTAATACAATTTCAATTGAATATAACTGACACCAACGCAAAATTAGCACTGCGTTATCTGGCCACGCTTCCGTTGTTTTCACCATGCAACACCGTCCATCTTTAAGTATGTCAGTGCATGGATAATATTATAACTCTAACTTTAATAGGATGCGAATACATACTTGTACCGCGTGTCTCGGCCGAGTGACCGACCGGCCGGCCGCTTACTAATTTATTCGCTGACTAATGAAACAATCGTTTAGCCCTGATCAGGCTATCGCAGAGAAGGCATCCTGTCCACAGGATTTTTCACATAAGGCCATGACAGAAATATTTGGTGCCTCCACGATCTTGTCCGATCTCTATTTACAGTCTACCACGGCTGCTGTTGGTTCGTTGCTTCCCGCGTCATTTAACAAAAATTGACGTGTGTTGTCATTCCTCCCGTCATGCTGCCCTTTTCCTGTAAACATCTCCTCTGTGTATGCGGTTCCCTCTGTCGTCGTAGTAGCCGTCACCCTCATGGTTAGCACTTGGCAGAAAGGGTTCGCCGAAGCAGCCAACCACGGCTCAGAGTCAGGGACTCGGTTCCGGGCTCTGGCCTTTCGGCGTTTGGCCTGTTGGCGTAGTTGAGGTAGCAGTTCAACTGTCGTCCCGGGTACTGCCCCGGTCCCCTCCGGCGCCGGTCCCCCACGGGCTTCCTTTTTCTTTCGGTCTTCTTTGTTCCTTCGTTATTTCGGTTCGTCGTCGACGTCGG